GCATCTCTTACTAGTTTTTATGCAGAGAAGTTCTCTCTGGTATTGATATTTTGGGCATGTTGGAAAGGAGACAGGATGATCGCCACTACAGTTCGCGCAGAAAATGCGAGTGCAGGGCACTGGAAGATGAGGAGAGAGGTTACAAGAAACGCAAGTTGCGGTGTTTTTGCAGTGTTTCGTTGTGTATCCCAGAAGTTGACAAGACTTACACCTCATCGGATTAGGAAAATATTCCCTAACCTCTACGGTATGCCAAGAGACGTCAAGCTTACTCGGTAACTTGTAAGAGTCAAAAGTAACAAGTATTTTGCCAAAGGGTTTGACGGCAAGTCAATGATTTTCGTAAATTTGTAAACGCTGTGAACATTTTGCGACTTCAGCTCTTCGACAATTTCTGTTTCGGGAACATTGATCAAGCAAGGGGCATAAACTGTGCCTTTAACATAATTAAGGGGGTCTTCCTATGTGATGGGTTGAAAAAATCGATTTTTTTTTTTCATAAATTGCTCCCTTAACATGTCTAAAATACGGTAGTAAAGCGATTTTAGAAAATTCGAAGTCGTTTTAAAGATACAGCAGGTAAAAGAAAGAGCGGTTCGGAGCGCTGAGTTGGCAGTTAGAAACTTTAAACGCGTTTTTCTCAAAACTGTGTTTTTCAAACTTTCCTCCATTGTATCTCAGAAACGGCTGGACCGAATTACTTGAAATTTACAGGGCGCACTCAATATATGTAAACGCATGGAATGAACTATTATCAATCGAAAATTTTCAGAACTTCGATTTTTTTATAGCAAAAAACAAAAAAAAAACGCCTAATTTGCAACTTTTTTTTCAAATGTCTATCAAAAATCCAATTTTTTTTATACTCATTTGATTATAGGTCATTCCGTGCTTTTAAGCCTACAAATTAAAACGCCGTTTATTTTTTTTTTTTCTGATAAGCCGATCAGCCGGAATCGTGGAGGAAGTGGAAGCTCTTTTTTTCGAGGCGGGGGTGTTCAGAGCGCTGTAACTCTAGTTTGACTGAATATTTTTAGCTGAAATTTTTTATTTATACTGTCCAAATATGTGTTAATAAATAATAAAAAAACTTGAAGCTCTAAATATTTACTGGTCGTAGAAAAAAAATCCTAAAATATCCCTAAAAAACAGGCCGTCACATAGGAAGACCCCCTTAAGAGATTGGTGAAGTTTGATTTCCACATCAGTTATACCAGGCAAAGCAGAAACCTTGGTAAACTTATCGGCGACTTCACGGGAGTTAACCAGGAGAAGCAGATTACCATCACGTAAGGTTGATATAGAGGAGATTTCTTTGCTTATAAGCTTAAGAGAGCGGTGGATTGCGAAACAAGAGAATTCGGATAGCGCTTTAGCGGATTTGGATGCAACGACTATAAATCGTGGGTTTTTTTGCTGGGTTAAGGGAAGTTCAGGGAAATCGACGGGAAGTTTTTGATATGGTTTTTTTTTTTTGCTTTGTGGCTAGCGCTAAGGCTGGCAAAGCGGTTATCCCCAAGATTTGGTGGCCCGGGGGCCATGATAATTATTTTTCGGTGTGCACTTGAAAAAAAGTTGCTAGAACGACGTGCGCGAAGGGAAGATCGCAGGCCGAAAAATAGGCGAGAGAGTGAAAGAAGCAAATTGCAAGAAACCACTGATAGTTCGGAAGACAACGACGTCTGCACTCGAAGAGAGATAGTCGGTGACTGTCTGACTGAAATTATAATACCCTTTTGCTCTGCAAGGGTATAAAAATGGAGACAAAAAATGTGCGGAATCGCATTACAAGAGAACGGCTGGGCCGATCTGGCTCAAATTATTTTTCAATTGTTTGTACCCGCCAGAAGAAGGTTATAGCATAAGAAAACCTTCTGGAAAAGTTGCTAGCGGCTCAACAGATGTACACAAAGATGTATGTAAAATTCTAAAACACACTACAAAGATCATAGCTGCGTTGATATTGTGTATCGAGGAAGTCGGTAAAAAAATATTTAAACAAAAAAATCGAGTGAACTTAAACAATTGGAAATAATGCCTGCTGTTAGACGAATAAGACTTGGACGGCGTTCGCGCAATGTAATAAATAGTCCGAATTTCCGTAATAGTCGGACGCAAGAGGAACGTGCAGAAATAAATGCATCGACACGTGCCCGAATGGCACAGCTTCGCGCTGCACAAGCCCCCCTCAAGCCCGACAAAATAATAGAGTAAGACGAACCGCAAATGAAAACTTAAATCGCGCTGCATTTGCATACAATTCTGAAACACCCTACAAAGATCATAGCTGCGTTGTTATTGGTTCATTGTCTGTCGTATGTCAGCATTGCAATGCACTGAAGTTTCGATTGGAATCTCCCGGCTTATGCTTTGCAAGTGGCAAAATTAAATGGCCCGTTTTGACTCATCCACCAGAGCTATTGTATTCGCTACTATATGGAAATTCGGCCCAATCAAGCAATTTCCTAAAGCTTGCACAAAAATATAACGGATCCTTTCAAATGACCTCAAATGACATCAACCAGGCTACAATCCAAGTTATAAGGTAATGGCGTCTCTCTTTTATCAAAATTAACAACTCCCAATGATTTCGAGTCAAAAAAATTTCACAAAAAATTTGAATTACCAGTGTTCTGTTATTACTCTGGGGTTATATGAAATCGTGAAATTGGGGCGAGGCAAAGTTCGCCGGGTCCGCTAGTATATATATATTTTTCGATCTTTCCTATGGCAGCTATATGATAGAGTTATCCGATTTTGATAAAATTTAATCCGAAATTCAATAGTAGTTAGAAAACGCCATCTGGAAGAAATCAAAACGATCTGATCAAAAACAACGGAGTGAGAATTTTTTATTTCATTCTCTCGTATGGGAGCTATCCGATATAGTAGGCCGATCCGGCCCGTTCTGACTTATATACTGCGTGCAATAACTACACACCTTTTGGGAAAGTTTCAGCAAGATAAGTTTAAAACCGAGAGACTAGTTTGAAGAGAAAGAGACAGACGGACAGACATGCAGACGGACAGACATACAGACGTACAGACGTATTTCGATTCAGATGGTGATTTTTTTGCCTTTTGCACTGCAAGGGTATACAAAAATTTGGTTGAAACTCTCTTGAAATTAACCGTTTTGCACGGTAAACGAATGGTGAGTTGAGTAGATGGTTTGGAGATTTTTTGTATTATTGAAAATAAATAAAAACAATTGTTTCATTAAAATCTGCCCACACCAATACGAGAAATTTGTAATGACCTTTTAAAGCAGTTAATCCTTTTTTGCATAATATTTAATTTTATTTCTAGTTTCTGTTGGGTCAATGAGCTTTTTCATTAACCATTACCTTGGCGGTGACCAAATAAAATAATCCGCACAAATTTTCGTTTAGTAATTGCACTTATTTATTTTAATGGCATCAAGGCCTTAAATGTAAAAAGTTAATGTTTGTGCGAGTGTTGATTAGGCAGGCAGACCGAATTGTCTGTGCCTTTTTTACAGCGAAAGTATGTTGGGCAAACAGACCGATTTGTCTGTGCCGTTTTAGCCGCGAAAGTATATAAGCCGAAAAGAATGGGCAGGCGATCAGCGACCGTCCCTTCTGCTATCGAGTACCAAAATCGAACTATATAGAAGCTGCTTGCCGTGGATAAAGGCCAGGTAGCGATAAGAAAAGTGCAAAAGGGAGTTAGCAATTACAATATATGACAGTGTTGCCGCGCAGGGCAAATAGAAAAACAAAGGCAAACAGCAAGCGATCAATATACGTTAAGATTTGAAATTTAATTATTTGAATTAGGCTGCGGCATGACCGAACATTTTGGAAAACCAGGGCTTTCAACCAGATCCTGCTTCGGCAGCACGCACAACTTGCGGACTGCCCTTCGAGTGATTCCAGTTAATGTTCGTATCACTGCCACACGAGCAACTCCATCGGATCCAGGCACCAATTCCATGACCCTGGCTAATGGCCATTTAAGCGGAGGCAAATTCTCATTCTGGACCAGGACGACATCGTTGATTTGAAGCGCAGGTTTGGGAGTGCGCCACTTTGACCGTTGCCGTAAACGGAGTCAAATAGTCTTCACGCCACCGTGACCAGAAGATTTGTTGGAAGTAGGAAATTCTCTGCCAGCGGTCCAAACGGTTGAAGTTCAGCTTTGTGACGTCAGACTCAGAGTACAACACCAGTGGAACTGTGCCAAGAAAGTGTGCAAAAATTAGCGCCTCAAGATCTGCCGGATTCTCGGAAAGAGGGAGTAAAGGTCGTGAGTGTACAATTGCCGCAATGTGGCAAACGAGAGTGCGCAATTCATCGAACAATAATAACGATGGGCCAACAGAACGATAGAAATGAAATTTGGACGTTTTTACTGCAGGCTCCCAGAGCGGCGTTTACACGATCCTTGGGCAAGTCAGCCATTATGTGTTGAGATAGCTGTGGTTTGGCTCGAAAGAATATCACGCATTAAGACGTTGCAGCGGACACTGTTTTCCGGCCACCTATCTGCCAAAAGTGAAGGCGCATGTGAGCGAACAGCGCTCGCGGACCAGATGCTGGATGCTGGCGTGGCAGTATGACAGGATGCCACGAACTCGCATCAGACCGAAGCTATCGACGAATGGCAAAAGCGAGGACAATGGGCTGGATGATGAAATTTGCTGCTTAGAATGCAGCCTGCAGTAGTCATCAGACAGGTTGCTCATTTGGACACATCTGATGAGCATCTGAGTGCCCATTTTAACATCTTCGACGGCAAGACCAGGAGGTCTTATACGGTGTGCAAATTTATATACATATCCAAAAGTGCGGGTCATCTTTTGCCAAGAATTAAAAAATTTGCATTTTAAAGTCAAATCCACTTCGGTCGAGACGTCAACCAAAATGCGCTTTATGAGCTCGGAAGAAATCTTCGAAAGCAAGCAAGTCTCAGGCCAATCGTGCTGATTCTTGTGAAGAAGCGCCGGACCTCAGAACCAAAGGGCAGATTCCAGAAGCTCACTCGGGAAAGCAGCTCTTGACAAGATATCGGCTGGATTGATGCCAATTGATGCCACTGGATAGCTCTTGAATTAAAGAAATTCGATTAGCAATAAATACTTGGAAACGTGAAGGTTCATCGCTTATCCATGATAAAGCTACAGCGTAATCCGACCAAAAATAAAACGGGCAATCGAAGAGATCCATGTTGCGTACGTCCCGCATCAGCTGGGCCAGTAACAAGGCAGCGCAGAGCTCCAATTCGGGAACTGTGAGAGTCTTGAAAGGTGCCACACGATACTTTGAACAAAACAGATGCACTTCTCGTTTGCCATCAGCTATTGAAACCAGATAGATGCATCCTCCATAGGCGTCGATGCTAATGTCACAGAATCCGTGAACCTCAATAGCACTATTTGGATGCAACGCATGTCGAGGAAACTTCAATTTCTGGGTACGACCCATGTCAGATGACAACTTCAGCCACGATATCTTGAGTGCCTCAGGAATGCTCTTATCCCACTCCAACTTTTCTCTTCAGACTTGTTGCAGGAAGAATTTGGCCTTGGCGACTACAGGACCAATGAGACCAAGATGATTATAAATCCTAGCAATTGTGGACAACACCAGTAGTTTACAAGGCTTTGAAGAAACCTGTATGGGAGAAAAAGAGAAACGAAACACATCCGCTGCAGGGTCCCAAGAATTAACCAGTGTCTTGGTAAAGTCGCTCCCATCGTTAAACTTCAGGAATGTTTCCTTCTCCGAGTCAGCAATTTGATTAAGGACATCGCGGTCGTTGGAACACCATTTCCTGAGTTTAAAGACATCAAGTTGGTGGTTTGAGACATGATTTCGAGGACCTGCTGTGCTGATTTCCCTCCTGTGATCAGATCGTCAACGTAGAAGTCTCGCAAAATGGTTTAGGAGCCGATTAAAAATGAGCTCTTCTCATCACTCGTCAATTGATGCATCGTTCTAACGGATAAAAAGGCTGCAGGCTTAGTTCCATAAGTCACGGTATCCAGCTTCAATACCTGCACCTCCTGGTCCGGTGAGTCACGCTAAAGAGTGCATTGAAGGTGGCAGACGTCACCAGTCAATGCAACAGGAAAGTCCGAAACTGTAACAGCGTGTTGAACAGCTTATATTGAATGGTAGGCCCTGCCATTAGAACCTCGTTCAGCGAGTATCCACTTGACGTTTTGGCAGACACATCAAAAACGACTCGAAATTTAGTCGTAGTGCTATCTTCTTTGAAAACGTAGTGGTAGGGAAAAAAATATTTGCAAAGACTCAAGGAGTCAATTTTACGGAACACTCACCTGAGTCCAAACGACAAAATTTGGTCATGAAATGAGCCACACACTCTAGTTCTTCTTTGGTGGCTGTGACCACGCCTTCTCCTCAACTCTCAACCTCCCAAAAGCGACGGACTAGCTCATCCACACAACCATCAGCAGCAACCAATTCACGCTGCACAGCTTGATTCTGTAATGCAGATGCCTTGATAGAAGACCTCCTGTTATGATCCAACCAAGCCTCGGTTTCTGCGATAGGGGTAACCCATCAGCTAACTTAATCTGCCCTACAGATAATAGTTCAAACAAGAAAGGAAGCTAGCTTCGGCGAGCCGAAGCTTATATACCCTTGCAGTCATTAAATATGTCGAACAAAATACATAAAGGGTAAACAGCATCGAAGCTATGACGATTTTTCTATTAACTTTCCATATTGTTCATATGACAGCTATATAGTCATGTACACCCACACATACCCTAACTTTAAGTTCATGTATTTACAGTTAGTACACGGCAGCTAAGCTTCCACTTAAAAGCTTGAAGCCTAGCTTATGCTAAGTTTAGTTTTTAAGCAGACTTGGAACAGTACGCACGTACAAATAAATTAATTGTAAGACTAAACTGAAGTCTTTTTTTGTGAAACCTCTGTTACTCGACAAGGAAGTCGAAAGAGGTTTCTTATCGAATACCGTCACTATCAGCCTATAACCGATTAAGAAGTCGTGGCTGCAGGCATCGATCTACAAATTTCATAGCTGAGACGAAGAGGTCTCAACTTTCCATTTAACTGGCGACGAGGATTAAACAAATACTAAGCAGTAAAACCAGCCATCCGTAAAAATTTGCAGTACAACAACGCACCTGGTGGTAATAACTTTTTGGATTCTGCAATACACGTGGTCCAACAAGCGTAGACCAACGTAAAGATTAACATAAAACATATCTGGAAAGCTTTCATCGGCACGCGGATACGAAGACAGGCTCAAAGAAGAAATTAACACACATCAGGAAATCTTTAATAAGATCAAGGTAAACCAGATAGCTAAACAAGAGGAGCCTATAAACCTTTTTTTTTTGAAAGCTTTTATTGATGAAAGAACATTGTTAAATAAGAAGCAGCCAATTACTAATAATTTAAAAATATATATATACATAAATAAATAACAAAAAAAAAATTAAAATGAATGAGAATAGCTTAGCCACGTTTAACTCAACCTTAAATTGCATAAAATTAATACAAAATTTTGATGGTACTGATACAAATGAATTACCAGATTTAATAGCACAAATAGAAACAGTTCTCCCAACGTTCAGTGTTTTCGACGCGCCTACCAAAAGCATTTTATTTGGCTTTATAAAAAACAAATTTATAGGACTATGCAGGCCAGTGCTTCATAGACATGGGAATATTACCGATTGGGAGCGGTTAAAGCAGATAATTTTAAAACATTTTGGTGAAAAAGAAACTAGCGACGTTTTAATGGATATGTTAAAACTGTGTCGAGTTGAATCAACCGTAGAAGAATATTATAGTAGAATTAATGAAGTGTCTAATAGAGTACATAATCGAATACTAATCCATAATGATGATACATACTCTACTTCCGAAGTAAACCGAATTGCACTCCGCGTTTTTAGAGACAACCTACCTGAACCTACTAAAACAATGATATTCGCGAGAAATCCGCAGTCTTTAGATGATGCTTACAAAATCATTGAAGATGCTAGACATCAAAGCTACACATTATACGGGCCGACTCGAAAGAATAATAAATACAATAAGCCAAACTTTAGAACCAATTTTAGTAACGATAATAAAAATGTGAACGAATTGATAGTAACACAAGGTAGTTCTGGTGAAGCTAGCGGTGACCAACAAGATAGTGCTACAAAAACTGAAAACCGAAGATCTGAAGGTGCATTTAGCGCAAATAATAGAAAGCAGTGGTATCGCAATCAGTCGAATTATAACACAACATCCAACTCTACTCGAATGTCGACAAACAACAGAAATATGCAAGTTTCTGAGCAAAGCAAACGTACCTTTGAACCAATGGACCTTAATCAGTCTAACGTAAATTTTCAGATAGAGGGGCAAGACGATTACCATATATAAAAATCCAAGGTAAAAAGAGAACACTACTCTTTATTATTGACACAGGAGCTGAATTCAGTGTTATTAATGAGAATATGTGCCACCCAAAGTGGAAAACAGATATAGAACTAGAAGTTAATGCAATGGGTAACAAAATTAAAATACACAAGTTATGCAGGTTCCCTTGTTTCCAAGAATTTAAAGCTGAAAGCTATATTTGCGAGTTTTTAGAATATAATTTTCACAATGCTTTCGATGGACTAATAGGCTGTAATATACTTAATGATATGAATGCAGTCATCGATTACGCAAACAAAAAGCTTAAAATAAATGACGTTTACCTGGACCTTTTTATACAACAAAATCCAGTAAATATAAATATAAACAGCTTAATTCAAATTAATCAAACTGACCCACAGGCAAGACTCTTAATAAACAACCTTATAGAAAAATTCGGAAATATTTTTTATAAAGAAGGTCAAGACTTGAGTTTCACAAGTGAAATTAAGCACAGAATAGTAGAAAGCGGTACATAAAAGACTACTCAAAAATTGCACAGCCCTTGATAAAATACTTAAAGAAAAATGCTAAAATAAACACACATGATCAAGAATACACAGAAGCTTTTCAAAAACTAAAAACCCTAATAACAAGCGACCCGATAGTCGTGTACCCAGATTTTAATAAACAATTCACTGTAGTAACAGACGCAAGTAATTATGCTTTAGGCGCCGTGCTCATGCAAGGAAATAAAGTAATTTCTTATGCTAGCCGTTCGCTTAAAAATCATGAACTTAATTATAGCACAATAGAGAAAGAGCTTCTTGCCATATATTGGTCAACAAAATACTTCAAATATTACCTTTACGGAAGAAAGTTCATAATCAAAACCGACCATAGGCCCCTAGTTTGGCTTAACAATCTAAAAGAACCTAACTTAAAACTACAGCGCTGGAAAGTGCAATTAAACGAGTTCGATTTTGACATAACATTTATAAAAGGCAAGGAAAACGCTTTGGCAGACGGACTTAGCAGGATTGTTGAAGCATCATCAGAGGAACTTGACGAAAACGTACAAACAAAAGTAGATATACATAACACTGATATATTCACGCTAGAGATAAATAACAGTTTACCAGACATTACACATAATACAAACGTAGAAGATGAAGATTTCTCTAAAAGTTTGGTTCAATTATTTACTAACGAAACTGACGATTTGGCAACCGTTCACAGTGCAGATTCCGACGATCATAATTTTATAAATATTACCGAAAAATGTCTAAACGTCTTTAAAATCCAAATAAAAATTATTGAGGCAGAAAGTGATTCAAGTACATTCAAAATTTTGCATAAAAAAAAAAATAAGACACATTTTTAAAACAAGTGGTGATGAGGAAAATATGCTAAAGTTCATGCAAGAAAAGTTGCCTGAAAAAGGCCTAGTTGCTGTATTCTCAGAAAACCTAAGTTTATTTGTAAAATTTCAAGAAATTTATAGACAGTTTTTTTCAAATAATAGAAATTTAAGAATTCTCAAGTCGTGTATACTATTAGAAGATATAAATGATAAAGAAAAAATTCTAAAGATAATTGAAAACGAACACTTAAAAAATAATCACAGAGGTATTAACGAAATATTTGTATCTATAAGAGAAAAATACTACTACCCAAATATGCAAAAAGTTATACAAAGTTATATTAATAATTGTAAAATATGTAACTTAGCTAAATACGATCGGCAACCTTTAAAATATAATTTAAATATAACAGAAACGCCAGAAAAAATTAACGATATAATACATATAGACATTTGGTACCCTAAAAGAAATGTAATGTATCTCACGTCAATTGACAAAATGTCTAAATATGCGACGGCTCAATATATTAAAGATAGATCCTGGATCTCTTTGCTTAACGCGATAAAATTAAGAATTCAATACTTGGGGAAGCCAAAGAAGATTGTAACTGATAACGAATTTAACATAGTTGTAATTAAGCAATTTCTCCAAGAAAATAATATAGATGTGCACTTTACAACTCCTTACAAGAAAACCGGAAACTCGGAC